AGAAAGAGAAACAGAAAAAGAAACAAAAGGAGACAAAAGGAAATAAAAAAGAAACAAAAAAGGAGACAAAAGGAGACAGAAAGAAACAAAAGGAGACAGAAAGAAACAGAAAGAAAGAAACAAACAAAAGGAGACAAAAAGAAACAAAAGGAGACAGAGAGAGACAGAAAGAAACAAAATGAAACAAAAACAAAAAGGAGACAAAAGGAGACAGAAAGAGACAGAAGGACGTAAAAGGAGACAAAAGGAGACAAAAAGAGACAAACAAAAGGAGACAAAAGGAAATAAAAAAAAAACAAAAAAAGAAACAAAAGAAACAAAAGGAGACAAACAAAAGGAGACAAACAAAAGGAGACAAAAGGAAATAAAAAAAACAAAAAAAACAAAAAAGGAGACAAAAGGAGACAAAAGGAGACACCACGTGCTTACATAACTCTATAGGATCTCCTTCTATACTTCTATCTATATACACACAAATATATATATATATATATATATATATATATATGTATATATATATATGTATATATATATATGTATGTATGTATGTATATGTAGGCATGCTGCTGCTGCTGTTGCTGCTGCTGCTGCTGCTGCTGCTGCTGCTGCGCCTTGTGTGTGGTGTTTTTGTTTTATTTTCCCCCTTATAAAAGAAAATTAAAATAAAAAATAAAAAAATACACAAAACACAAATAAAAATAAATTAATAATTAATATAAACCCCTTTATATCACGCCGTTACCAGCCTGCTGCTGCTGTTGCTGCTGCTGCTGCTGCTGCTGCTGCTGCTGCTGCTGCTGCAGCACACCATAGCATCGGTATTAAAATTAACATTTTAATATAAATATTTTCATTTCCTTTTTCTTATTTATTTTATTTTTATTTTTATTTTTTATTTTTTATTTTATTTTATATTTTATTTTATATTTTTATATTTTGGTTGGGTTAAGTATAGGTTAAAGCAGCAGCAGCCAGAGCAGGAGCAGCAGCAGCAGCAGCAGCCAGAGCAGGA